AATGATTCACCTCAGCACTTTAATTTTTCTAAAACAGATTCCAATCCCTTGTAAAAGGTGTACTTACCTCAATATCGGTTGGTTATCGTATGCCTACAACCACGGGATGAAAACGGAACGAAGTCGATTTTCCCGCTCAACCTGGAGGACAACTGTACAATTCAATAACTATACGGCGGCTGAAATTATCCCGCATGCTCAAGGTCACTGATGGAGTGAGACGCTCAAAGGTCATTTTCGTCCATGTTAGTCGGTTATGTTGGATTGCAGTTCCGTAGCCGTTCGTTTTCACATTGGTTTTACGTTCTGTTGGCATTTATGGGTGATTACCATGTACTGATAGCATTCTTTTGTAACATAGTACTGTTCTTCACACGAAAATAGCCACATTTTGACGTAGTCTTCATTGAATGACACTATGTCGAAAGCTGCAGCTTCTACAAGAAATAAACTATTTGTGTAGATGACATTACCCCCCAGCTACCCCATCTTCTTCATTGTAGAGATGTTTAGACGCATTCAGCATGAAACACTAATCATTACAACTAATATGTTAAGTGTGTCGCAGTCAGATTAAATGACGCGGACACCAACATAACTAGCCAGGAAATGAGAATTCCTATCAATCCAGAAAACATATAACAAAATTTTATTTAAAAATTATTGACAAAAAAAATTTGCCGAGCGAAATTTGAACCAACATGCCGGATAAGTCCAGCCCTATACGGCCTAATTCAGAAAATGAGTGTATTATATGTATCGAATATTTAACAGTTGAAATACGATTAACTTGTAGACAATCTACGATTTGATATTATATCATACTTGATCGTGCCTGTAAAAATGGCATGCATTTTCATGTAAATTTGTAAATTTATATGAAATACATTATTATTATTATTATTATATTATAACAGCGTATATCTGGGTGAGTGCTATACCGCCACGTGATTGAAGGCTATTTCAGGAAGAGGAGAAAATTCTGCGCAGCTGCAAAATGGTATAAAATGCGATTATGAATAATACATTATTGGAAGTATATTTACAAGATAAATACAAGGAGAAGAAGCTATATAGTACTTGAAATGATAGTTTACATTTGCAATGTTTAATGCTAACCATATTGGTCTAAGCATGGACATTACCACGTTTCCGATGAAAATATAGCTTTGTTCAAACATTGGTGTTGTTGTGTTTTTAATCAAAGCAACCAGACTTAAAGCAAGCAACAAATATAAATAAAGAGCAAGTTTCAGCTTCAATAAAGGCCTAGGTAGTTAAGATCATATAGAGAAAACGGCACAAACTACTCTACCAAATGTGAAATTCTAGGACTAGAAACATTATGGTTAAGACGAATGCGACTAGATCTAGTACTCTTCTATAAGCTACTTAGCCACATAGTATATACCCACACTGGATACAACCTTAGACACACTAAGGGTACGGTGGCTATAGAACAACGTAAAACAGCCACCAGGCAAAAGTTTTTCATGATTAGGTATGCCCAAATATGGAACAAACTACCTGAGGAAATGCGAACAGCAAGCTGACTGGTGCCCTTGAAAAGGCACTTAATGACACATTAAGTGAATTCGCAAGTGATACCAGTGCTAATTCCCATGTAAGAGCTTCAGAAATCATAGGCCCATTGTAAACTGTAAACTGTATTTGATGTATGAACTTAGAGACTACACTTGTTGTTTCTTTTGCTTTTATATATAATTTCAGACAAAAAAGCAGCGGTCATGAGAATAACACACATACAAATAAGAGTCGATCGAATTATGTCTACCTGATACAAAGTGTGAACCATAACCGACATACGAATGAAATATGAGAAAACAAGGTCGAGACTTACCACAACATCACATGGAAGGATATAAGTTACTTGGACATCATTTATAATCCACCAACTGGTCTCATTTCCAAAAGGAATGCGGCGATATTTTATCCACAGTTATGAGCAAATACATAAATCCACAGTTCCCGTTGTATACACTCAGTGGGGGTAGGAGTCAACAAAGTAACGCACTTAAAGCATATGCATATTTCCCATCATCACGGTGACACTGCGGAATATGTGAAAATCGTAGAGTAATCAAAGCCGACACGAGATGTAATTAACTAAATCCGAACGGCAGACAAGTTGTAGTACATATTTTAATATTCATCAATATGTCAATCATGATGACAAATCCAAATCACTACCTATACAGCACCAATAAACCTGGCTATCTATGAAATAACGAAAACGTGGTGACAGCTGCATTTCAGATTCCACTGACTCATTCGGTGGTAATACTCTGCTCCTGCGTACCTCATTCGACATTTCGTATGGACTGGTTCGCATTCATTCTGGTTCCAGACTAAAATGAATCAAAAATCAACCAGCTGCAGATTCATTATTACTTCTCTGCATGTTTACCTGGATACTAACTGCTGTGGCGAGCCTCTTGCAGATTACATTGCTTAAAACATTGTTTACGGTAAACTAACTAACGTTTTATAAGCCACTTTTGTACTTTTGTGAGTAGCCCACAATATCGACCAAATATTGTAACAACAGAAGACAAAGGCCAGGCAACAGATCGTTTATTAATGAAAATCAACACATATTTATACATTTTAATGTACATTATTGTTAGTAGAAAATACAGTCTTTTGATTGGTTGTTTCTCACAGAAAATTAACCTTGCATCTCTTTGTGGCTGTGTCAGATCATCCATATGCTAACTGTATCCGCCTATGCAAAGCCTTTGTTCTCAATTTCTCGCCACCAATATTGGGGACATAAACATTAACGTCAATTACTGTCTACCAACTTTGGCTAGCAGCCAGCTCTCATCACAATGTAACGCAACACTCAGGTGATACGCGCATTCTCGACAAATTCAAACAATAATGGTGCCTAGGATTATATCATATAAATTGTTTTAACTCATGCAAATTGTGCTTACTGTCAATATCCCATTACTTTCTCTTATATATATATGCTGTGTCAGAGAAAAATTGTAAACATGCTTACTCCATGTATGCATTATTATCATAGTGATAGTGCCTGTCAACTGGAGTCCCTCATGTGCACAAAGTGAGAATTTAGTATTATAAGATGTATTTTATTGTTATATGAGGGAATTGACTTCAAGCTTTATTTATTTTCCCAAGTATCTGTCATCCATTCAAGGCGTACATGGGTTTCTTTTGTTAATGCGAAGTCAACATCTCTATATTTCTTGAAGTGGTCCATTGAATTATTAGTTATCAGATTGTTCCCACAAACTAAGAATAAAACGACAGCAACCATGTGATTTAACCACAAACCAAGTTTATGTAATTTAAATAATACTTATTCATGCCTATACAACTTGTGTGTTTTACATAGGTAGGAATAAATATGTACCTTATTATATTATCATCACTAACTATTCTTTTAATGAAACATTAATCTGGCTTCTTTTTACTCGACTTTGCACTTTTTCAGAACAATTTCTTCTGCCTTAAATAACCTTCAGTCACGCGTGGATATAGTACCTGAATATTGGTTGGTTGTCGGTTGAGTACAGCCGCACTTAGAAAAAGATGTGAATCATGGGTTACCTGCTAGACGCTGACGACCACCGTGGTAGTGGCTTTAACACTTATATCGTCCTGCTGTGATAGCTTATGTTACAAATCTGCTACTTAAACCACTGAAACAGCAATGTATTATCAACATTTTACGATATGAATCTGTTTTATGTTTGATCGTTTCTCTAAAACAGACATGCCTTCTATGTAAGTATATCTGTCTATATGGAATATGCATCTATTATACAGAGGTTGTGACTGCACATTTTAATCGGTTGGAACGATTCAGACAAACGTGATAGGCATCAATGGTTTTTCCTGCTTCTATTAAAAGACATAATAAACAGACACCTGTCACTGTTTACTGGAATAATGCAATACTGTAGCAACCAAGGATAGCTCTCATGAAGCAAGGAGGTGATATAGTGGTTTTATTGGTTTTAAGCACAATCGCTCATTCCATTTTATAAGCCCGATCGCTCCACCACCGTGTTTGCCACTCCATTATAGGTCTCAATGGTGTGCTTCATTTCCAGTTGTCTGTATAGTTTACTAGGGAGGAATTACTGCGCAGTCACGTGATTGTGTATCACTAAATTCTCTTTAATTCTTCTAAAGTTCCTTGAACAGCTGCAAGTGCTTTATTCTCCCTTCACCAGTTGGGCTGGTGTTAAAAGCAGACTAGTCACCAAGTCAGGTAGTCTAAGCTAAAGAGATGGCTTTTAATGTGGCTTCTGCGCTGGTTTAGTGGGATCTACAGTCACAAAACAACCCCAGAAGTTATTTCTATTTGAAACCAACAGAAAATGAGCTCGAGGTCGTTCAAGAAGCGTGACTAAGTGGGTTGTTCCCCCAAGCTAGCCTCGAACTCTAGAATAAATGGTGTCTTCGCTCTCAAATGAATTGTTCAGGAAGGGAACTGACAGGCATAGACACTTACTGGAGGAGGACTGGCACCAAATCGAAGCAGTATTTTCAGAATCGAAAGATTTGGAATGTGAATCTGAATAATGCTTGATCCTTCACTGAGGTACTTAGGTGCCCTACATTAAACTTCTCGGAACTCGGGAAGAACCTTGTTACCCAGTCATTCTGGACATCATTTCGTCATCTAATTTTCAGGTTGTCGAAATGCAGCCAAACTTTCATTTTGCATCTTGAAACCCTCTTGAACTCCCTTATTTAGCCGTAATTACTTATGAAATTATTGATATTTTGTATGCTGGCGATATGCGAAGAATTTAGTAGTACCATGCTCAACAAATCAAGTAACTGAACATGTTTATTTACATCATGACATTCCTTGTTGATCAAAACAGTATTTTCACTTTCCTCAACATCAGGAGTCATCGAAACCTAAAGTTAGACCACAATGACAGGTTTTAATGAAGAAGTCCACATTTATTGTTTAAGTACCTTCACTTTGCAAACTTTGAGGTCAAGAATTTGATACTAAATTGAGTTTCACATATGACCTTGATAACCATTTCCGATTATGGGAACAACAGATGACCGGTTTGTCGTCATTATTACTTATATTTCGATTACTTTTGATCAGTAGATTTTCTGACCGTGGATTTAGAAAACCAGAATTCGTGGAACTTGATGAGTATTCTGACTTTGTCCAAGCATACGAGTCAGTTTTGCAGCGGCGACTTACGCGTTGGGAACAGTATTTTTCCGCTCTACCATCAAAAAAGAGCTCCAAATGTTTGTTTCAAATCAATTTTTTCATAATTTTTCAGTGAAAAGATTTTGTCGTAAAGGAGTACCGGATCATATTAGAGCGACAGTATGGATGCATCTTTCGGGAGCTCAGGAACGAATGGAAGCTAATCCAAATGCATATAGTATTGCAGTTACTCAGAAACCACCAAATAACATTATGAATGTAATCTTGGCAGGTTTGTTCACTGCATTTTGGGGTTTCACTTATGTTGCATTTTATATCCTTGTAATAATAATCAGTGATAATATTAGTTTATACTGTTAAGTGACAGTTGTTACGTTTATTAATAAACGCATATACTTTACTTGGGAGTCAGTAAGCATGAAATATGTGTGCCATTATCATGGCATTGAGGTTTTTATTATTATTTATGTTAATTACCCATTTTTCGAGTTATGCATTGTCCTCCTATATACGCTTACGCATGTTAAGATCCAGATTTACCGATTGAGAGTAAAAGGTCTAAAGTCTGTGTTAATCCTTTCCTAGTAAGTTTTTGTGGTCATCGAAACTCTTACTGAATGAGTCAATTAAGGGTGCTGACATCACGTAAAAAAATCAATTGCAGAATTTCGGCATTGTGGTAGAATGTGTCATATATCAACTTATGACTTGATTTTAAGCAATAAATTGTGCTCAAAACAGAATCCAGTTATCAATACTATATCACCACGTTATGTAAAGTAGACGTATATGAAATTACGTCTAAAATAATTTGTGAACCTGGCTATTTTATTGTCCTGAGTATCGTCTTAAGTAGGTGAATAACGGCTTTTCTCATACATCTCATAGCTGTTCTGTAAACTCATTTGATTGCTAAAATAATTTTCCATCTTATTTTGCAGGGTTATTACGTGTGGGTTTTATTTTGTTTTGAAAAATCTTGTGCATATTCATTTGTTATCTAAACTTTTTCACTGACATCATATTTGCATTTTGAAATGTTGATTGAAGTCATTACTCTTTAGATATGTTGGACATATTCTTTGAATTTATGGTCACCTCGTATGTCGTGTGTCAGTTCTTTTTAAGTAAATTATTGACTGTCGTACTTATTTCCATTTGAGACATGGTTGATTTTCGAGTGTGAACTCATTGTATTATACTGTAACATAAATCATCCAAAAGCTTCCTTTACGTTTATTAACCTTCATTTCATATCAATAATATGATTCTGAACAGTAAATTGTTCTTAAGATATCCAGATATCAATACTGTATAACTGTCTGATATATCAAATGAACGTATTCAATGTGAAGCTGGTTCGTGTGGTTGTTTTCTTGTAAGCGTCGATGGCACATTAGTTAGAACTCTCGCCGACCATGCACATGGTCCGAGATTCGATCTCCTGCTGACGCACACCCGATATCAATGGTCGGCCTGCAAAATTTGGGTTACGGATATCCATGCTGAAAATTCCATACTTGTACCGAAAATACGGTGTGGAATCAAGCTGTAATCAAAAATAAAATAAAAAAATAAAATAGGGTATGGAATTATTTTTAAATCCAATACAAAGCTGAGCAATTTGGTGTCAAAGAGAAGACCAAAATCAGCCTATGAAACTTCTGACTGTTGGTGCAAACTATCTTGGATAATGTAGACTTTAAAATCTAAGCATTAAGCCTAACTGATGTGCATGAAGGCCTAAATTACATGACTGAATTTTAGGCACCATATTTTTCCACTGTGTTTCTATTTCCTTGAATTTTTGTTACTGCTGCAAATTCGTTGATTTCAGAAATAGCCCCTAGGTGATACTCCCACTTATTAATTTAATGTGAAACAAGCCATGTAAATCTGGGTTTGAAAAATGTGGGCATTGGGTATATGATATTCATTATAAAAAAGGTTTTTGTATTTCCCAATGAATGAAATACTTTGATAAAGCTATTAGCATTAAATAGCGAAACGTCAGTAAAAACAATATCGTTTTGTTTTTTACTCATTGGGAAATACAAAAACCTTTATTATAACGTAAATCTATGTGTTTAAAAAGGCGAAATTCTTTTCAATCTCTTTTCAGTCTTCATTAGTATATCACTGTGAAATATTACAAGCTCATAAACTCATCCTCAAAATGAAGGAAGGCGTATTTCATCGTTTTATTTATATATATTTTACCTACAACATTAAACCTTCCACACCTAAAAGTACGTTTCGCTGAACAATAGATTTTATTCATCAGTCGCTTGCTACGAATAATTTCTAAAGTTGGGAATCAAATCCTGCTGACTGCTTATTCAAATCTTCATGATACTCGGCTCTCTACCATCACTTTTAGCTGACTGCACCTCTACCGTGAGCTTTCATTTCTTCCTCGTATGATCTCCATATCATCTTTGTATCCACACCCAACTCATCCATTCTCATTCAGATCCCACTCAAGCGCCTGGCTGGCGTGTGATACCACGTGGGTGTGTCCTCAGTACATTTCCAGTCGACCCCCATTTCCTTCCGAGTACTTGTCAGCCAACAGTTTCTTGACTGATTTGCTGCCAGAGTTCCTTTCCTTACTTTCTTATCGTTCATGGCCATTTCATCTTCAGTACTGATTGAAGGTGGTTGTTGGTGAAAGTTTGGAAATACTTATGGTAACGTGTCCATCAAGTGTCCGAACTACAAAGAAGTACTGACTTTAACATTAGTGCTGAAGATTCGGATCTTCTTCCTTGTACTAATTTCAGACTGATAACTGCTTGTTATGCTTGCCCGATACAGTCTTTGACATCCTCTTTCTTGCCACCTGCAGTTGAAATGACACTACCGAGGTAAGTGGAAGATAAACTTTCTTTGATGGTAATTGACGTTTGTTGTTGGTTCACTTAAAGTTCTGTCTTCGACCATCTTATCACTCCCCGTAGTGTATCGTATGATTCAGTTCGCCACGATCAGAATGATCACAGTTCAGTGTATAGTCTGTAGAGAGCCTATAACACAATTCGGTTACCTATTATGTAATAATTTAATAGTTGTTGTTTTTCGGTTTTTCTCTATACTTTCAGATGTTCCACGTACATTTCCTGAGAATATTCATTTCCAAGATACTGATGGTCCAAACAGTAAACTAGTATCATTGGAAAGAGTTTTATCAGCGTTCGCAGTTCACTGTCCTAATATTGGTTATTGTCAGGTAGGTCACGTACTTCATAAAATATCTTGGAAAAGAAAAAAACAAACCCGAATTAGTACTTTCTTTGTTGACATATAATTAATCCAAATGTATTTATGGTTAAATGTAACAATATGTCTACTTTGATTAGACACTGACTAGTGTCATTTGTTCAGTCCTTTGTTTACTGCAGATTAAATTTTGTCAGTAGAGTTTGCAATGGTGCCACCATGCTAGGTGGCTCGCCACCACGTTACAATCTGAAATGTTGTTAATAGATATTTGGAAGCAATCTACAGAAAGCCTTGCTCGACCTAGGTTTCGTGCTCACTTTGGCAATCATCAGTCAGCAAGGCAAATCTGCAATCTTGAAGGAGCTCATGTTCCTTCTAAGATCCGTACCCGAGTCACCCAGTGAGCTATCCTGGCTCACTGTTGACCTCCTGTAGGACTGTATTCGATACTTTGATTCAACGATAACCAGTGTCATGTGCCTAGTCCTTTGTATATTGCAGACTGAATACTATCAGTCAAGTGATAAAGTCTCTGACTGCAGCACTGGGTGACACGGGCTTGGATTTCAGAGGGGACATGAGTTCCTTCAAGATTGTAAATATGCCTTGCTGACTGGTGAGGGCCAACAAGCACGAAACCTAGGTCAAACAGGGCTTCCTGCCGATTACCTCCAACTATGTGACAGCATCGCGCCTGGTTTAGCGATGATTTTATACATCCAACTGCCAACCGACTCTCCAACTCACACATGCACACATCCTGTTTAGTTCTCTTACTGGCTAGTTCAGTTTTCCTGGTTAGGTTTCTAACCACGCCCCAACTTTCCCTTTTTTGAGCTTACTACTTGCTGGCCAAGATTAAGAGTACGTCATCCGGTAATCGAACTCAAACCTCCCACGTGGTTGACGAGCATTTTACCACTGAATCATCGATGCATATCTAATGAAGTGTTGAACTGTAATGACGGGTAGAAAATAAACACTCCTCTATCACTGCATTACTTTAATTTTGACCGGACTACAGTGATAAGTCACTGATTGTCGTGTGCTATAGTACTCGTGGATGTTTAGTGGATAGTTCATTGTCTTGTAGCTTTTCTTTTGGATGGCAGCCTTAAGTCATATATTACTCGGTCTGTTCCTGAGGTGTCTTTGTTCAAGATGATTAGGAAATATGCTCTGCATGCTTAACGACTATCCACTTCAACGAGTTGTGTACCGTTCCAAAAAATACACCAAGTATCTCCTGACCAAGATGTCTGTCTGTCTGGATTCAACATAGAACTTGGCACCGAAGTGAAGCAGTTCGAGTTGCCACATTCCAAATAGCACACAAACGTAGACAAGAAGATGAGTGAAGAGAATCAATAGAGTTTTGACAAGTATAAGAGTGAAACAGAATGAGTAATGGTAGAAAGGAATATGAGAGATTACAGAGACTGAATACATCTGCGTAAGCCATTGACAACGATTTTGAGCCATGTCACCTATTGTCTCCAGCCATTGATTCTTAGAGTCCCGAGGGTGGGCCCCAACCCGGAAGTCTGCATCTCCCTACCTGACTCAGTTTAACTGTCAAGGATTTCATGGATTGATTGATGCGATGTTTTTGTTTGGCCACCACTTACTCTTTTCCAACCTGCACCTATATCAGCTAGTAATGCCCGTCAGTCGGGGGAGGCGATGGCTAGGCATGCGCAGCAGCCATTTCAATGTATGTAACTTTATAGCCTCTTCGATTGATTTTCCCTCTTTGCCCAACACTCTACGTCAAACGTCAACATTGCTTACCTTGTTATACCACCTAATGTGAGAAAGAGATCGTATACATCTATGATCAAAAACAGTCAACCTTTTCATGTCTTCAACTCGTATTAGCCATGTTTCAGAGCCATAGAGAAGGACAGAGCGACCAAGATGTGACAGTAAACCAGTTATTATAGACACCTCAAGATTATTCATAGCGGCATTGGTCGATTTCTGTCTCACCATACATCTTAATACCTGTTATCTGTGTTTCCCAGCATTATACATCGTCTCATGAATATCTTTTATCTTAATATGAAGTTTGGTAAGGTGGCCAGTTAGATAGTGATATTATTTACTGTGTTAACAATGCCTATCCTTGCCTAATATCCAATCGATTCTCACTATTCTTTGTTCTTATTTTTCTATTCTTATCCTTCTAATCAGGGTATGAATTACATAGCTGCAGTACTTCTACTGGTTCTTGATTGTCCTGCAGATGAAGCTGAAGTCAAAGCATTTTGGTTATTGGATGCATTGGTTAATCATATTCTACCAAAGTATTATTCATCTGATATGTTGGCTGTACGTGTCGACTGTATGGTGCTCAATGAATTATTAAGGTAAGTGAAATTCGTGCCGTTTGGTTGATGTTGGCTAGCAGTGGGGTCATCCTACCTGGAACTCATCAACTGGATGTACCTAGATCCTCAATAAGCAACAGTATTCCCTCTAAAACGTTCTATCGTTTCACGTATCAACGCGTTATCTGCGGGATGGGATAGCCACGTGTTATGGAGTTGTTGTGTATTTGGAGTCATTATTTTGATTTCTTCGGACGGAAATGTTTGGTGTGTGTGTGTGCTGACGCGTTGGCTCTTAGTGCGGACACTTTGACTCTCAGTGGGGAACTTCCTTATTCACTGCATCCGGATAATAAGTCTCACATAAGACTTAGTGTCAGTGCCAATAGCCATTACTAGCGACTGCCAACCAAGTAAAATCATGTTTCTCTTTAGAAATCGTCGAAGCTTTTGTTTCGGAATCCGCCAGCATTATAACAGCCACCGAGTATTTCAGCCCGTTATGATTCGATCATCGTGAAATTCAAAATAACGACTTCAAACAAACAGATCAGCTGATGATCATGGCTGCCAACACCGTGGAATTTGATTTTTTCTTTGTCTTTTGTGACCGCAGACCCTAGGGGACAACTGCCTGAGGCCGGTCATACATGACCAATTTGAATTAGTGTTTGCAGTTGTGTCCGTATTAAGAACATACCTCTGACTGCGGACTACCGAAAGGTAAGTCTTCATACAAACAAGTTAAAGTAGCTAGATATTCATTTCGTGCACGGTAGTTACTGTTTGAAATTCCACAATGTTATATGGTAAATGACTGACGTTTCGTTCTCATATTAGATAATTAATTCAGAAGGGAAAAATAGATTGGTAAATTTAAGCGAAATCAGCTGTTCTATGAGCGGTTGGTATGGAAGACTATATTTCTTATCAAAATCCATTATGTAGCAAGTATTCGCACCACTCAGGGCATTATTATTATTATTCCCTTGTGTTCCGAGTGGAACATAGGGTTTAAACAGTACGTCTCCATTTTACTCTATTTTTCGTGGTCGTGTTAAGATGACCACATCTTTGCCCATAGTTTCTTATCTCCTCTTCACACGATCTCCTCCATATCACCCTCGAACCACTCACTCTTCGTTTCCCATGCGGGTTTCAGTCGAGAGTATGCCTGGTGTGTGATGTTAACTAGCTGTCGCCTCGGAGTATCCCCATTTTCTTCTACATATTTGTTGAGCAATTGGTCCTTAGTTGGTTCGTTCTCAGAGTTTCTCGTCGCCATTTCTTTCTAACCACTTGATCTTCACTATAGAGCCACCGAAGGCACTTGTTGATGAAAATCTACAACCTGTTGGAAATGCTTTTTGTGACGTGCAGTGCAAGTTTCTGACCTACATAGAAGAAGTGACTTGACATTGGTGTTGGAAATCCGGATCTTGTTCTTTGTGTTGAGTTATTGCAGAAGATTTCCAAACAGAATTCAGGTTGATTAAGGTGTACGTTACCTTTCCGATTCCGGCTTTGACAACTTCATAGGTCCCGCCTGTAGTTGAAACAATGCTGCCTAGTCAGATAAGTGAGCGAGGTGACCTCTTTGAAATCTCACCTGTTGATAGTGATTTTGCTGGTTGTTAATGTTGTTGTCGGTGCGTGGGTATCTTCATCACCTCCGTCTTCCCTATGTCCACCTGAAATCTGTCCTGTTTTCGCTTCTCCTTCTTCTTATTCTGCTAGTTTGTTGGTTCTTGCCTGCAAGTCTCCTAGTTTTTGTGACATTAAACATAAGTGATCCACGTAAAATCCAAATCTTCTAGTGTCTTCTTATTGGTCGTCCAGCATATTCCTGTCTTCACGATCCCCACAGTCTGATGCACAATGCAGTTCACCGCAATTAGGGCATGTACAGTATTATTAATCGGATTTTAGGTAGGTGAACGTTCAGGCATCAAACTAAACAGTATTAAAGACATTTTCTCATAAACTGTCAAAAAAAGTCATTAAAAAAGCTGTAATGGCTAAATACTTACACGCTATTACTCACTATCGAAACCGACTAGATTACTAGACTAGATTATAATACTTTATTGTTGTTGTTGTTGCTTTTTGTGTTGTGTTCCACCCTCGTACAGACCGAAGGTACTACATATGTAAATGCTGGAATCAATCATGACTAATTAAAAAAAATTATTTTTACTCCTTTACGTTCCTAGTGGAAAGTAGGGCGGGCTCCAAGCTTGAAGTTTCGGTAGCAGTGGTGTTTTCATTTTTACGAGATGGGTTTGCTAGCCCAGCCTCATGCCCTCCCCCCTACCTTCCCTCTTTACCAGTGTTATTACTGGCTTAGAGAGGTGATGGAGTGCATCTTCGGTGGTCGCAGATCAAACCCCGAGCCACATTCGTGGATGACGAGCATTCTACCGCTGTGCCACCGACACTCACAATTAAGAAATGGCAAAGCTATTAAAATCGAGTGATCCAGGTGAATGGTTGCAGTGGGCTAATCACATTTTGCATAGGTTACTATTGTAGTTAGTTATACAGGAGAAACCGAATTCAGGATTTAGGAAGAAAGTTTTCATATGAACAAATGCACCAAGTGATAATCCGCAACTGTGTAACTGAACCCTGACGCCGCCTTACCCCTTCCCCACTAAACTCTTCAGTTGTTTACTCTCTACGCAATAGTCATTAAGCGGATGAGTACTGAAACTTCTGTGAAAGCTGTTACAATGGGAGTTATTCTTGCAACCTTTGAAAGTAGGGAACCTGTTCACATTGATATTCTTAAACTTCTTTTAAACACACCTCTTTTTCGCCAATATACTGTTTTTCATCTAAATGAGCCTGTTTCACTCTGATCGACCGTTTCCAGATCATTGAATTGATTGTTCGTTTAGATCACTAACTGTTTGGTTTCGTCATAAAATAATTTTCATATTCCTCTCCTCAGTCGACTTCTTGTAGTACTGGATTATATATGTATATCCTGTGCGTTTGCAGTGGAACACAGGGCTTGAACCTAGATAGGGTTTAGAACCTGTGACTTATTGATTTAAAGTCTAGTGAATATCTAATCTGCGTCGGTGGCATAACGGTTAGAACACTCGCCGACCATGTACATGGTCCGGTTCGAACCCCGGTCGACGCACTCCTTTACCTCGCTAAGCCAGAAATAGCGCTGGTCAAGAGGAAAGGTTGGGCATGAGGCTAGCAACCTCATCCTGTAAAATAAACACTGCTACAGAAACCTCAAGCCACTAGCTTGAAGCCCTATGTTCCAATGGGGAACGTGAAGGAAATAAAAAAAAAAAAAAAAAATGTATGGTACTTTAGAAAAAATGAGTATATGCTCTCCAAAGCTGCGTGTGGTCTCACTCATGTTGTGAAATTCTTCAAGTTTTTCACTCATATATATACTAACATCTATCATGTGGTATACAAGCATGTGTTCCTCTACTGGAATTAGAGTTCTTGGTGAGTGGTAATTCTGAAAGATTAATGACACTAGTACGTGCTATTCTGTAATAAAAGTATTACACACATATTTGCGCAGTCAAATTTTGAAGTGATGAACTGCCCTTCATCTGAAACACTCAAGGCAGCTGATTTCTATCATATGTCTCCATATCATTGAGTGTGTTGCTCATAATATAATGTACAAACTTGTAACAGATCTCTGATCATTTGCAGTTTATTCAGAAGAAATGCGTCTTTTCATGAATGTGGAATTCACTCCTGATTGTGTTCATGGAGCTACCTTTGGACCTTTTAACAAAGGGACGAAAGAGACTAATGCTCTAATTTCAAAACTGTTTGTTGGTTTTCATTCAATGTCCTTATTGGTTGGTATCGGCTACCATTGATAACTAGGATGGGTGCTCTGTCCTTTTTATCCTTCACGTCCCCCAGTGGAATATAGGGCTTCAAGCTAGTGGCTTGAAGTTTCTGTAGCAGTGCTTATTTTACAGAATGGGGTTGCTAGCCTCATGCCAAACCTTTCCTCTTCACCAGCATTATTTCTGGCTTAGCGAGGTAAAGGAGTGCATCGGCTGGGGATCGAAGCCCGGACCATGTGCATGGTCGGCGAGCGTCCTAACCGCTATACCACCGACGCACGTGAAAGACTTAGAGGTGGTCAATTCAAAACGTGTCATCTATCGATGGATCTTTTTGATAGCTGTCTTCGCTCAATACTCAAGATCGGATAGCTGGCCAGAAAAGATCAAAAACAGGGATCTCTGGCGATGAGCAAACCAACCAGGAACCGATTGTGCAACAAATAAGCAGGAAGAAATGGAGACGGATTGTTTGGCCATACTCTGCAGAAAACAAACCATCAAGTGACATCACACAACAGGCCATCACTCGAGTGGAACCCGAATGGGAAGCGGCGAGTTGGTCGTCAGTGCGAGGGTGGGGTGACATGGAGGAGGTCATGTGAAGAGGAGATGAAAGCATGTGGGCAGACGTGGAGCCAGGTGAAAACGTTGGCAGAGAACCAAACGCAATGGAGACGTGCGGCTGAAGCCCTATGTTCCTCTAGGAACTAAAGGAAACAATAATAATAATAATTTTGACAGTTGCTGTGAGCCGCGTAGAGTGGCTGAGATCCACAGGATGCCAAGATCCAATGACTTGAGACTGTTGGTGATGTGGCTCAACCTTGTTCTCAAAGGTGTAAACACCCTCACTCTTTGTGATCTCTACATTCATAAGGTCCTCTTTAACCGCCTTCTGGTTATTCTTTCTCTTCTGCCTTTCTGCTCACTATGTAGTTCTCTTGACTTTATAGTCTTTACATGTGTGTGCTACATGGAGTGTAGCACCTTTAACTGCTGTACTTGTGTGCGAATTTCTACGTTGAAGCCCAATCAGTCCGTGTTATTTGGTCGAAGGTAAGTGGTGGTGCAATGTAGGACTTGTGTTTCGTCCTGATTGTGACTCGTCGACTAGATGTACATGCATCCTTAGTAAGTGATGGTGTTTCCATTGAAACTCGAGCCCAGAATCTAAGAACTGTCGTTGAATTTTTCAAGTATGGGTGTATTTTAGGGATTTTGTTTGATTGGTTGGAGGATTTCATCATGAGCTGACATCAGTTAGAGAACCATTGGAAAATCTGGAGGTATAGTGGGAATCCATGACCAGTACAGGTTGAAGGCGAGGCAGTAAATCGTCGAAGAAGACAGTGCGAAGTGGTCGCGCTATCATAAATTAGAAGAAGTTAGAACTCATGGCCTGGTCACTGGATCGGGTCCCAGTGGTTTAATGGTCTACGAGCTCGCCTTGTAACCAGAAGGTCCTGGGTTCGAACCCTGTCGGTGGGTGCGTACTGCCGAAGAGTCTCAAAGTAGGCTGATGAAACAGCTGTCTAGTACTCCCAGGTGGTTTTCCAACGATTCCCTAACTGATGTCAGCTCATGATGAAATCCTCCAACCAATTATCGTTGAAATTTTGCACAGCCACAAAATAAATTTATTTCTGTCCCTTCCTAGTCGATCAAATTTATTCTAACCTAACCTTTTCTTTTTGGATTTTGTGTTTAGAGAGAAAATTCCCATGGTGCATAAAGTCATCATGAATTCAGGTATCAGTTGTACATTGTTGGCTACAAAATGGTTTATCTGCCTATTCGCTGATGTTCTACCAATTGAAGTAAGTTTTTGTTTCTGTGCATTATCTATGCGTTTTGTGCAAATTTCTACCAAACACTAGTATTGTTAATAACGTTATGTCAGTGAGACAGCATAAAATGGCGATTACCAATGACGTCATCGCTTACTGGCGAACTGGAGGTTATCTTGGATAGTCTGGTCTACTTACTCGCCTATTCTAATTTTCTTATGATTACGGTTGAGGTGGCACAAATGGAGTTGAAAGTTTGTGTATTTTATTTCTATGATTTATTTCTTGACTTCCTAGTGGGACATAGAACCAGCCTTAGCGGGACATCTCTGTTCCACCCGATTCTATGCCATTACTTTCGGATGATTCCACGACTATCCACAAGCTTTCACTGCTTTTCGCTTACCTGATCTTCTTCATGTTACTGTCATATCCACATCCAACTTGTTACTTCCCATTTAGGTTCCAGTCGATGACCTTCCGAGTGTGTGATGTCATTTGAAGGTCACAATTTGTGTGTTAGTGTTAATTGGATGGACGGCTACTGTCGACATATTTACACTAAGCATTGGGGTAAGTCAACTTACCAATGGCGATGAAATGAAGTCCTGGTTAGTAGGTGTTTATCACAGCTCATCTGGTAAACTGTCCAGCTGGTATAAATGCTCAAAACTATATGGTACTTATTGATTGCGATGAGTAGTAAGTGTATGTCACTAAGACTAACCACTGGTGCTTACCAGCCAGATCAGAATGAGCTGAACAGCGAGCTACCATTTTGCTCGTTTGGGGCCGAGATCATTAGTGATTGAACGCGGTTCAAAATAGTCGAATCTTGGTCAGCTACTTGAGTGAACTGGTAAAACCCTAAGTTGGTTTAAACCGAGTCCACTGCTGATTACCTCCATGCAAAAGAGCAAGACGACCGTCTGGTGTTTACATCACTTCGATCTGGCCGGTTATTCCTACTGGCTGATGTGAGTGGTATTCAACTACTCATCCCAACCAATCAGTAGTATATAGTCCCACTCGTTTGTTCTTGCTTTTTGATTGTCACCGATGGTATCAAGCTGATTACATACTATCATCTGAATGATTTTTCAACCCAAAGAAAACTGTGGTGAAATCTTACCTCGAAGTGTATAAGTTGCATATTAATTTGCGAATTGCGAATTCGATTTACGTCAGACTCGTAATCTTGAGGTCGATGGTCTAAATCGTTCTACAAACTGATGTTTCACTCAATCTTCAATTAAACATAGTCCACTGCATTAATGCTGTTATTCATGTCACAGTAAAAGGAACATCATTTGATAAGAATGTGAAGACGATACTTGTAGGTGAGACCAACCGAACCAGTTAAAGCGGTTTTTCTTTGCTTTGCAACTTAAATCGTCATTTGTATGTAGGAACACAAGTTGAGTCCAAACAAGTAGAGTATTCTGGTCTTCAGAATCTGAAGTCGAATTGTCTTTGATCCCATCCACTTCTTTACTATTGAATATATATATATATATATATATAGCGCAACCGCCAGCTGGAATCATAGGTAGGTAAGTGTCCTCTTACCTGACATGGTTGACTCTGCTGGTTATAATTTCTCACTACAACCTCAGGTAAATTCCTGTATAAGGTCAGTCGCTAGTGAGGAAAAAATTATTATCAAGCGTCGGTTTGCAAGGATTTTATTGGTTACACTGTAACGACAGAAGACAAGGGCCAGGTCAGGCAACAGATAGTTTATTGAGAAAACTAAGAAATATTTATAGATTTTTATGTATATTATTGTCAGTGGAGAAGCAACGTTTTCTGGTTGGTTGTTTTCTTGCTGAAGGTTATTCTGTACTGCTTGTAACCGTTTCTCAGAAAGTTAAGCCATATATCTGCAAATCGTATTTGCATACATTAAGTCTTCTGTGATTGGCTGTTGAGTTCCTCAAGGTTAAGCTTTGTTGTTGGTTTTCCTTCTCATGACCCTGATTCGCGATGTCGTAACATTGACGTAAATTGTTGTCTACAATTTTCGCTCTCACCACAACAGGATTGATCACTAGTCGACATCAGTTAGAGAACCAGTTAGTTGCCTGTGACACTGGCTGATTGTTGAGCTAAATGTATGTATATCACGAAATGGCAGAAGTCGGAACTCATGGACCGTTGGGTCGAGTCCCGGTGGGTGCATACTACTGAAGAGTCCCAAACTAGGATCAGGCAGCTGTCCAGCACTCCCAGGTTTTCCAATAGTTCTCTTATAACTGATGTCAGCTAGTCATTAATCCTGTAACCAATTAAATCAAATCTATGCAAATCAACACTTGACTACCTGGTCGTTAAAACTCTAATGTTAAAACCAACAAGTTGTAGTTCCATTGATTATTATTGAAAATTAAATAATTTGACATTCCTCAATAGCATTATCTATAATATTGTGGTATTTTTACCAGTGAGTTGGACATTTCAGTAGTGGTAATGTGAACTGCAAAACAGCCGCCTACGTTTAAAAAATGTCCATTGGTACACTATACTATGATTATGAGTTATGTGATAATTTGAGTTAATTAGTTGTCTTTAACTCGTATCTCGATTGGTGTATGTTTCATTATCATCCTAGGTATCATTGCCAGTAGAATAATAATAATAATAAAAGCTTTATTTTGAACAGTGTTTATATTTAATGTACAGAATTTTCAGCGGAAATGAATGCACAGTGGTTTCTCTTTGTTCAGGATCTGCAAGTAATTTAGTAACTGACAGTAAATCGTGTGACAAACTGCTGTCTGACCTGTGGCGCAAACCAATTCCTTATGGCCTTTCTTCTTTGCCTCCCTTCTTTGAAACAGAACACAATATTTGGTTGAAAGCTAATTAAAAACGGTGAAGGAGTAAATTGTTCTCACCAAAGAACATAACAATAATAGCTGAATAATTGAAGACTGACTGCAGGCTCGTTTCGCATATGCCAGTTTACACCGTCTCTGGCTGTCGACCAAAGAACTGCTCAGCAGTCCGCTCCACCCCCCTTCATGGCTGTGAGTGAAACATTGCCATTGAAAGTGGAAGACATGAAAATGCTGGCTTGCTGTCTTTAATCATAGGTGCCTTCGTTCTGTCTCCCATGTGAAGTGGTACAATAAGGTGAGCAACATTGAGGTTAGACGTCGAGTGCTAGGTAAGGAGGGGAAATCAATCGACGAAGTTGTGAAGTAGCTGCATCGAATGAGATGGTTAAGACATGTATTGCTCACGGCTAGCCATAGCCTTCCTCGACAGGCAATGTTAGCTGACATAGGATGGATCAGGTTGGAAAAGAGATAACCAGTAGTGGTTAAACCAAAACCAACATGGCTTCATCAGTCAATGAAATCCATAACAGTTAGGGAAGTGTAAACTGCTTGACAGGTTGGGGTCCTAAGGTTGGTAAGAACCAATGAGGGCTGTAGACAATTAGTGGTGATATGGCATAAAATCTTTCTCAATGGCGCAGGTGCATCCACTCAATGTAACTTATAATATCCAATACAACAACCTTAATGGGACATGAGTTCCCTCAAGGTTGCAGATACGCCTTGCTGACGAGTGCCAACTAGCACGAAACATTGGTCCAAGGCTTCCTGCCGATTGCCTCCAACCATCTAATACCAACAATTCACAGTGCACCGTAATGGCGAGTCACCTAGCATGGTGGCCACATTGCAAACGTGACTGGTGGAATTCAGTCTAGACACATTACATTAGTTGCTGACTAGTGTGCAATCAAAAATACTAAATGTAAGTGTTAGCTGCATAAAAACACCATTTATTACATTTAGATAAACGACTTTTAATTACTTCAGAAATACTGTCACCTTTGAAAGCCAAACTCATAAACAGTGTCTTCTTCGGAACTGTAATTTGTCTAGGGATGGTTTCTTTCTTGATGTTTCTGAAGCAGCTTTAATTGAGATGTACGCTTAATGTGCAGTTTAGATTTAATGATGTCATCTGTAACCAAAGGGATGGGGTCGTCAGAGGGTCTCAGTTAAGACTTTTCCCATTGGATATCTTCATGGTGAGGCGGGACCACTGGAAGAAACCATCTCAAGTTTGGATATGTATAAGCGATATATTGGTGACACCTTTATTTGCAATGAAAATTGTTCAGCAGCTGAACTTCTAGAAAAATTTAGTGGTTCTTACTCATCTTTGCTTTCCACTATGAAAAAAAGTATTCGAACTCCGCATTTCACCTCTTAGATGTGATGCTCGATAGAAGAGAGGACGTCACGTTAAAAAAGTCGATCTACCGAAAGCCAACATTTACACTAACTTCAACAGTTGGGTACCTCTATGCAGGAAGAGAAGTCTTATCCGTTCGGTATGCTCCAGAATTCAGAAAATTTGCTCTGTAGATAAGATCGATTTAGAATTAGAAAGCCTTCGTACAACTCTCTCTTATATCATAGAAATCCTAGAAGGTTTATCGACAGAAACATCAAGTAAGAAACCATTCTTAGCCGAATCACAATGTCAAAGAGGACACTGCTTATGAATTTGGCTTTCAAAGGTGACAGTATTTCTGAAATTACAAATTTTAGTTTAAGTTTTCAAAAGAGAAAAGGAAGGTGGTGGAAGGGGTTAGAGAGGAGAGGACAAAAAACAGAAAAATCCAATCAACAATCTTAGCTTATAAGTTCACATAGCAACTGAAAAAGGTTGACCATTGAGCTGAAATCACCAAATATCGACAATTAATCACTATAATCAAGATCAAAATGCAGTTACGCAGGGAATGAGAGATTGATCACACTCTCTTTCTGTATGCATACGTTGTTTGGTTTGTAACAGTTGATTGCAACTTCTTTGGAAAGTCGTAGTAAATTTTCTGTCCTCTATATGCTTAGTACTTGGATGGATTTGAAAATCTCGACGAAATGACCTGTCTCCACAGATCGGGTGTCTGATAATTCCACCTTGTGAATGTCTGCTTCCTTTTAGACATAAATTTCCTCGGTATATGCTGAGTAAACCGGATGGAGGTTCTTCTTTACTGT